CCTCGGGCGTGGTGGGTTCGGGGTGACCCGCACGCTTAAGTAGGTACTTGGTGTTGTTGATGAACCGACGTGCCTTCATCTTATGCCACATAAGTCCAGGCTGTAAGGTGAGAAGATATCTGGCGTCTCGTAAGGTCGTCTGGACCTGCTCCCGCAGCGGCAAGGACGACCGTGACGACTCGGGTGCCTCCGCGGTTTCGGCACCTTCTTCCGGCTTCTCGGCGTTTTCTTCTTCCGCTTCCTCTGTTGCTTCGGCGGCTTCTTCAGTCTCGGTAGAGGCAGCCCCCTTGGAACTGTGTGGTGGAGGTGCGGGTAGTTTGGGTCGGCCGGTGGCGTACAGAACGCGTTCTGGGTCGACTTGGAACATATCGCCAGGGTTCAGACGATAGGCCGGATAAGGAACCTGTCAAAAGTTGGATTAGAGGGGCGGTATATAAGAAGCACGGTATCTCGGGATACATACCACTTTACCATTCACCTTGACGGCACCATGGACACAAAACTGTCTAGCCTGTCTCGCGCTGCTGGCGAACATGGCTCTGAAGACGGCAACGTCCAGTCTCCTCTCCATAGGAGCGAATGTCATTTGCATGTAAGGCGTCCTCTCTTTCTGTTCAAGTTCATCTTCTTCCCATTCTCTGGGCTCTACATCTTTGCCCGACCCCCGTCCGTCGGCCAGCTCGGAACCGTCGTTCCTGGCCATGTACCCGGGATCTAGCTGGGCAGCACCCAACAGCCGTCTGCTAAACATGCGCGTCCATTTCCGTTCGACGATGTGTTCTCCGTGGTACGTTCGCATCATGCCCTTGGCGCGCCATTTTTGCTGGAAGAAGGTTATCTCGTCGCCTTGGCCAATTGGTCTCATTTTCATCCGATAGAAATTGTACAAGTTGTATTTATTCCATGTTTGGCGTAATTTCTAGATAGATGATAGAGCGCAAATCAGCAACAGATCAGGGACAAACGAGATACGGATAGAGAAGCTATTTGTATGGGCCGACCTGGGCGAAGACGTCGTCGGGAGGTGGGTTTATGGCAGGGAGTTGCGCAATTGCAATGGAAGCAGCTCCAAAATATGCCCGCGCATATCTTGGGAAGGGAGCAGGCAAGCGGCGGGTGTCAAGGATGTTATTGTACTCATGTGTAGACTTACTGGTCGTTTCAGACCGTGATATCTTCTGGGCTTCATGGTTGGCTTGATATCTGGTCGCACGTGCCGACCAACAACTTTGGAAATGTCGTAAGTTGGTCTTGCTTGTGCACAGTTCAAGACCTCACTGGTTGTCTCGTTCAACGCGACCCTTGGCCTAGCTTGATGAACCAGCTAAAAATTTCCAGGAGGTCTTGCTCATTCGTTGGCAGCTGGCAGTCGATTATGGGAGCATCCATCCATGTACCCAAGTAGGTAGGCTAAGGTAGGTTAGGTACCTACCTCTCAGCTTGCTCACTCGGCGCTCGCACTACCTAACCCTTTAATTCAGGGTCAAGTGTAGACATGTAGGTACTTACGTATTTAAGTTCACTGTGTGGTCCAAGCTCTCTAAGCGTATCTTATGCCAATTCGAAAAACCTGAAGTCAAATTCCAGTCGACACTACGAGTACTCGTACGTGTACATCCTCTAATAACATACATTTGTCATCAAAGGCTTCCAAACCCTCAAGCATCTCTAAAACTTGTACAAGTAGGATGTATTACACACAGCCAAATTCGAACCAAAGGAATACAGACAGTATCCGTATATCAAATAGCCACAACTCTGCAGGCGCTAGATAAACAAGAAGGTTAAATAGGACAGGAACCGATGTTAACTAAATAATAAACCCTCCCATGAAAACCTAACCAAGACCAACAATCTACCCACTCGTAGACTGTAGACAGATATTACCTATTACTCGTAAGTGCAAGGTGCCGGTGATTGGGGAAGCGGCGGGCGGGCACTATGTTCTTAAGTCCGGTTAGTTGCCGAGTCCCACTCCCACCTCAACTGCCCGTGTGTAACACATACAAGCCTCAAAAGTCGGTCAAATGACCTATGCCGGCGCACCTGTGTATACTTTAGTAAGTTAGGTTACTGATATGAAATCGCGTCTATTTCTCCTAGATTCTTAGGTCATACCTACTTTGACGTAATCATTCAATGTTTTTTAGTTCCTGTACCCGATGAGAAAGCGGAGGATACCACCACCGATGCGGTTACAGTAAGCCGTTTTCGCTTCCGAGAAGACGGTAAGCAACACCCTTCCTTTCCCTGCCCTTAAAAACCCATTCACGGGGCCGATGTTCGATGATGCAAAGTCCACTTTTTCTTCTCTCCCAGACTAGCCAAGTCGGTAAGGTAGATATCAGGTCTTTTACTATTCGAGTATTTTTTTACTCATTATTGGTCGTTCCCCTTGTTATCCCAATTGTTTATTCCCCAACCCACACACTTGAGAAGGATTTCGCTTCTTCGCGCAATTGGATTTAAGATGGGGGGGGGGGGGGGTTTCCCTTCCCTATCCCCTGTGAAATTGTGGCCTAGATAGTCGGTATAATCTGTACCTACCAGCCAACTTGAATAATGCGGCCGATGCCGACGCCGACGTCCCGCATAGTTTAGCATAAGTCTTGTGTGAACTACCTAACCTTACCAACTTACCGGTTCCGATGAGTAAATTATTTCCCTACGTTGCATTACCTACAACAAAGGTAGCCGTTATTTCGGGGTCATGAGAGGTAGGTATACAAAGAAGGTTATATATAAGATTATCTGGGGGGGGCCGGCCCCCCCCGGCGCGGGGGGGGGGGCGCGGGGGGAGGGGGGTGCGGGGGGGGGGGAGGAAGGGGGAGGGGT